ATACACCGAGTATTGTCCTTCCTTCAGCCCAAAGATTCAAAGAATTGGGAGATTTCAACAGAAGCTATTGAATCATGGGATCTACTTAGTATTTCCATAGGACCACCCAGAGTCCCTAACCTTTAACATAAACTGTAAATCTGTCAGAAAGAGGTTGTTTCCATTTCACTCATTCATCTCCAGCTTACACATTTGCTAACACACAAGACTTCTTTACATTTTTCCTTTCAGAGTCTTACTTACCAGTAGAGCTTAGAGCGTTCGATAAGCGTGTAGGTGTCTCCATCTCCAATGACCATATCACAGCTCATGCAAGTGAAGCATTCAGGATGATACTTTTGCTCTCCAGCAACCTGTTTATATGCAGGGCAGTAGTGTATGAAAAACATAATACAGTTTTACCAGAACACATTTATTTGGGCCACTCTGAACTGTGAAACACTCGAGCTGTTTCTGTTCATTCTTGCATAAAGGATGTTTTCAGAGGATATCCTCTAGCTTAGAGTCAAAAGAGAAAATAAATGCTTTCATATCAGGAGGAAACCAAAAGTCGGGAAGGCTTTGAATTTATGAATAATTGGTGGAGCATGCTGAGATTTGGTATTCCATATTCCGTTTCTGAATATTATATAAAACTCTTTTTAACTTGTTAGTCTGAACAGCAGTAAGCTTTGAATGATCAATAAGTGGGATATTTTTAAACTAGTCCAATTGATTTGTTGCTGACAGTTCAGACTGCTTTGGACTAAGTGAGTCAGACAACAGAGAGGGCAGCTAATCAGGCTTTCATCTTATGAGCTTAGAAATCCATGTATGCTAAAGTTTTGTAGCCAAGATTATTAAAAAAAAAAAAGTTTAGTGAGGAACTTGTGAATTATTTGTGTTCAGAGGGATAGTTTCATCAGAATCATTTTTTTTTTTGGTTAAAATTTTGAGTGATTTCGATATTACCATTATGAGTCCTGTTGCAATGGTCTCCTTGCAACCGTGGCAGTGTCCTCCATAACGGCACCAGTAGTGCTTTTTACAATACAGTTGCCCCTCTCTTTCATAGTACCAGTGAGACAGAATACAGCCACATTCACAACACCTGCAGAGACAAGAGGGAAACGGGAGAATATGGCGTAACAGAGTGAGAAAGTGGAACAAAACCTGAGCAAAAAACAAAAAAAGAAAAGATTCAGATACGCAGACAAAGTAACATGAGCCTAATCATGGATGGAAGATGTGGGACTTTAAATCCTCACAAAGAGTATCACATTTCAAGGTCTGTGAGACAACAGATTATTGCTTTCTGTTTAGCTCCTTTTTATGAACGCAGTATATGATTCCACTCATACTCTACTCATTTCTTCTCTTATGTTGGTTAACAACATGATCTGGTCACAAAGAGGCATACACCCAAAGGAAATACACTTATCCTTACTTCTATGCTGACATCACCATGACAATCAGCCCGGGGTGACATTAATATTGGTTTTTACAAAAAAAGGACCATTCATGCAAAGAGACTAGTCACATGTTTTCACAAAAACAATGTTCCCCATAGAGACACACCCACTCAAGATTGCACAACACAGCTGTTAAAAATTAAAATAGCATGCATTCCTTAAATGCAGAGCACAATGTTCAGTTTCAGGCCTTTAAAGTTTGCAGATTACAGTGAGACTCATCGTTACCCTGCTAAAGCAGAATAATACTATAGTGTGTACGATAAAGGCCCTGCTTCCTTATCTCTCCAACACTGCAGCCGGAGTGGGAGGTGACTTCCTGGGTTGAGTACTGGCCCATGTTTCCTCTCCCCAAACCTCATGCGGTAAATGCTTTGAATCCATTTTTGTAAGAATAGCAAAAGGTTGTGTCATATTGAGAATAAAGCATAATTCCTACAATAGTTTCTTTTAAAGGTTTTCTTCATAATATGTTAAAGTGATCTTAAGTCTTGCAAAACAACTTAAAGCCACGATTCATTCTGCTGTTTTTGTTGTGGTTTTAGTATTTTGTCACAGAAAACTATAGGCAGCTCTTCCCCTTTGTGTTTTTGTTAACAACACCAAACAGCTCGTTTTGTTGTTGCTGATAGAGCAACACATTGCTTCTTCAGTGCGCACACCCTCACATGTGGGATCTCTTTTTTTCTGACAGCACTGTAGGACGTGCTGCTAGAGACCAAGATTCGCTTCTCCTTCATTGCTAAGGAAATAATTAAGCAATAAAGCCATCAGACCGCTGCAGGTTTATTTTCGACCTCCTGTCTTTGTTACTGTGCTGCAGGCCGCGGATGTGGAACCTTCCAGCTTCACATCTGCGATTCCGCTAAAGCATCTGGTTGCAAGAAAACCTGGAATCAGTTCAGCTGTTTCTACTGCCCGCCCCCTCATCCATCTCTCCACATTTCTCTTTGGTCACCTGAGTGTTTTCCTGTCAATAAAAATCCCCTTTGTTCTCGTGTCTCTAAAGAAGTTATGACGTCAGAACTGAACCTCGGTCAGATGTTAACAATCTCATGACGTTTTCTCCTACCACCGTTTCCTCCATGTTCTGTACGTTGGTATGTCGGACTTCCTTTAAAAAAAAAAAAAAAAAGCTCTTAAAAGGATTTTTTTAAACTGCTTGTGTCACGCTGGATGTTTCACATATTTCTTTATGCTAAATAAACGACTTTAAATGCTAACTCTTAGGTTTTGGCCTGAGGAACAGGGATGTTTACAAAATAAACAAATTATAATTTTTTTTGTAACTTGCGAAATGTGCTCCAACATGCTTTTTTGTTATTGAGAACATTAGAGCAAAAACAACCTCCAAAAAAAATAAACCTCAAGTGTTATTTTGTTGGCAGACTTCTGTTTGAGGAAGTATACATGCAGACGCTTAGAAGTTTCCCTATTTATTTTTTCTCTTCCTTTGACTCACTCTTTCATACGCTTCCTCCCCTTTCGCTCACTCTTACGCGTATCTAAAGATTTCAGTTCTTACCGTCCTTTCGTGCCTCGCCGAAACCTCTGGTCCCGTCGTGACATTCTGCCTTGCCAGTTATCCGACAGACAGCTGTCAAACACAGTCCACCCAGTTCAGAAAGGAGCTTGTTAGCAGCATGTGATTGTGAGCGGATCATATACACCTACTCTGCTGTGACTGATGATAGGCGTTGCCTTTCTCTCTCCATGTGTTCAAAGGCTTCCTGTGTGAATATGAGTTCCCTTTCGAATGTGAAGAGAAGCTGTGTGAGAAAAGAGTCTGACCCACTGACACCAGCTGGCCAGTTTCCCCCTGCTGGCTGCTGAGAAACAGACCAATCCGATAAGAGACGCCCTCCCTCACCCTCCCCTCTCCTGTTATGTCCAGCATGTAGACCTCTGCAAGATATAGTTACACTCTTCTGCAGAGTCTAGCAAGTTTAGGAGAGTTAAACTCACAACCTAAATGAGTGCTTATGTGATAAGTGGTCTGAGAATGAAATAAGCCCTGTTCCCATCAGTGCAGGCATAATCTCTTTATGAATGCCCCAATTACTGCACTGTCCAGATCCTGCAGTAAAGAACTCCATTCATCACACACAACGAACAAAGAGGGAGAAATTAGTTAAAGCATAACTGTGGGGAACAGCTCAGAACAGACAAACAAATCCATTGATAGCGTTCAGTATCGACCTCTCAAACCAAAATTATGACCTAATGAGCTTTAAATTTGTTTTGCTGTAGGTTTCCTGCAAACAGTCCTGTCAATTCAGCAACTTCAGACTAGCTGTGCTATATGTCTGCATATGCATTTTTTGTTAAATTGTCCAGGCAAATCTGCACTGCAGACAGAAAAGCAGAAACAGGTGTAGATATATGGAGGAGACCCTTCTGTCACAAAACTGATACTGTCATAGATTTATGCCACTTTCAGTTACCGTTTCTCTTTAATTTGCATCCTCGGTTGTTTTTCTCATGCCCGAGTTAGTCATTGCATCTCTGTAAGCTGCATAATGAACAAATTAATCAGCAAAACCTTGTGCGAGTATTGCTCATAACAAATATTTTTACCAGGCTTCAGTGTTGTAAAACTTCCAGGCAGCATGACGCACAGCACTACAAAACTATATCCAGTTGTTCTTGTCTTCTTTTTTTTAGACCAAAGAAGCTAGTTTGTGTTAAATGTTGCTTCTTTTGTGATATTTCATGTAAAAGGCAAATACTTACATGAGCTGGGAGTAGAATGATGTTATCTAACAACGCTATAGAAAGTGCTGTTAAGACTTTAGGGTTGCTTCTCGTCACTGGTAAGGAAATAAGTTAAGTATGACTATGCCATCCTAGGGTAGCATGGTACTGCAGTAGTTAACACGGTCACATAGGAAGAGGGTATCTGGTTTTAACATGCTCGTCATCAGGGACCCTCTTCGATGGAGTTTACACGCTCTCCCTGCGTCAGCATGGATTCTTTCCAGGTATTCCGGTTTCTTTCTACAGTTCAAAGTCACGCATGTTTGGTTAGGTTGTGATTCCAAATTGGCTGAATGTGGATGTGTAGCTCAGCTGTAGAGGGGAGAGGTGGAGCTGGTTCAGGGAGCAGTGCCAAGCGAGCTGAGTGACACACCTGTTGTGCATGAGCTAATCACTGCTGGGAGACGCTGTGCAGTAATTGGCAAAGGTACTGTGTGGACTGTTTGGGAGAAACTAGAGAAGAACACTATAAAGAAGAACGTCCACTGAGCCTGGCTCGACGGCAGGGCGCTGGAAAATAAATTGGTGTGTTTGAACTGAAAAAGCTGTGTTGACTTTCTATGATGAGGGAGACTCACAAGTGACTGAGCCTCGTGTCACAGAATATTAGCAGTGCAATAGACTTGGATGGCCAATGCTTACACCTGTCCTAAGACACCAATAGATGTTCCCTAATTCTAGTCACATTTTGAACTGTACTTTTAGGATACCTATTACTATTTAAACTAAACTGATGTAGTTGCCCCATTGGCTGAAATAAGTTTCATTTTAAGGTTTTACTAGTAATTGAAAAGCAGCCTAATGCACCTTTAATACCTTGAATCCATTTCTAACCCAAACAAAGAGCAGAAACTTGGCTTTGTATGCACGTTGTTCCTACTCAGGTTAGAGTGCAGTGGGATGCCAAAATGGCTTCAAAGCCCCCCTTCATTTGACTTTAAGGCCCAATCAGTTATGTAACCAACATCACTCAAAACCCTTGTCTATAGCCCACAACAATGACTGTCTGCACTGACAATTACTAACTGTTCTGTTGTGACGCTTGACCTGCATTACCAAATTAGGGAGCGCAGACTTTTAAAATAACTTGCCAAGTCTGCAGAGTTGTCACGCTGGCACTTTATCACTAACTGATGTTGACTCGGCAGTACCCAATCTCAATCAGCGCCCAAATATGCACTGCAGCTCTTCATAATAGTTGTCTTTTTGTTAAAGTTTGTACAGCATCAACAACTAATTGTTCACTCTTCATATGAGTCACCACGTACACAAAGCTTCACTGCTGTTCTGCATTTTTTTTATACTCCCCTAAGCCACAGTTGTCTGTTTCCTTTCTCAGTACAGCATACCTTGCGGTTGAACCCACCACAGTTCAATATGCTAAAAAACCAACATCTACTTCTAGATGTTGAGCTTCCTCCTCTTGCCAAGTGGTTAAACCCCTCCTTGTTGTTTCATTATAGGGTTTTTTTTTTGTACGTGCTAAATTACTCCAGTAGCAATAAAATAATGACACAAAGAAGTCGTCATTGGTCATCTCTTTACTTCGGAGAGCATTGTCAGAGAGTTTACAAAAGTGCATAATTTTCTTCATAGGCCACATAAAAAAAAAGAAACACAGATGTTAAAAATCACACTGAGCTCGAGATGCACATGAGCTCAAATGCAAGACGAGATTCACTCACCCCACTTTTGACCCACTGACATCACAGCCTGCACTGTGATTCAGCACACATTCAAGGACAATGTAGAAAACAAAGCACTTATACTCATCATAGTAGTAAACGGGTTTAAAAACTGTAAAAACACACACACAGAATGACTAACTCAAATATTTTAGTACTGTAATAATGCACTTGACTTTGTAAAATGAGGCTAAATACAGTTCTCAACATAATTTAAAAAGTCTAGTAAACGTGAGCAGTTTCCCCAACAGTGTTAAAGGAGGTTCATGAACAGAAGGAAAACGCAGTAATCAGTACTCCTCGGATGTCATGTACTCTAGTCATATTACCTCACATTTAGCTTGAATGCTTACCTCAACAGCAAATGTAAAAGCTAAAACTAAGCCCATTCAGAAAGTCAGGATAAATACACCCTCCTAACAATTAAAATATATGCACGCTAACCAATATTTTACATTTATACCATTGAGTGTGATGTGGCTATAAAACAGTGCCATTAAGTTGTGAAATGAGTGGAAGAATCTCACAGGTGGGCCTCAAGTGGTATCTGTGAGAATCCTCAGGCTCCATTACTGATACTACTGAGGCCTGAGTACAGCTCACATGGCCAGAGACTGCTTTTCAAGGATCAAAAGACTACCACTACTGCATAAAATACTGCCTTCATCTTCTCCTGTGACAGCAGCTGTTTGTCTCTGTGTCTGTACACACTACTTGTTTGTCCACTGATGTAAAAGATGCTAACAGTGAATTGTCTGCTCGGCCATTCACTCTGCAGACATATCCCAGTTTAACTGGGTAGAAGTGTCGCCCTATATTTCTTTACACATTGCGTCAGCATGCAGACAGGTCTGAAGGAGCTGCCCTGAGGGACTCCTTGGTGTCAGTCTTAACCCAGAGGATTTGTGCCAATACTTGCATAACAACACAAATGATAATCAACACAGCAAAGACAGACAAAAAGTGATGAAAAGAAATGCTGATTCTTCACTGTAGTGGTTCTCAACCCGATCATCAGGAATTTCTGGGGTTTTCTACCCACGTTATTTTATTTTTGAAACTTTCTTGAGAAATTGACATTTAATAATTTGACCAAAATAAAATGACTTAATTATCCAAAAAAGGGAAATAAAGTATTTAACAAAGGGAAACGGCAATCTTCACCTGGCGGTGAATCTGATCCGGTTGAGAACCACTGCAACCTTTTATAAAACCCAAGCAAATGGAAATGTAAAAAGCGGGATGTGCTGAAGCTTTAGCTTCTGTGGCAGGTAAGACATTTACAGTGTGGGATCATGCAATAGCACCACTGTTGTTTTAATGAGGTCACTTCCTGTCTTTTGGTCTTTCTCACTTCCTTCTTCGGCCAGCTCCTAAAAAGCAGAACAAAGGCAGCGTTATTCTTCACTTTACATGCAGTATGCAGATTGTTTAAATAAGACTTCCGCTGTTCATCCAGACCAACATAAAATGACAACTGTTAAATCCCACTTTATACTAACTCAGAATAGCTTCCAGGACATATTTCCCTTAGTTTGTAGGGTCAAATGTTCATTTCCTACACAGACACAGAGTTCCTGTATTTGTGGGTGTTACCAATTGTTGCCAATTTTGAGCATGTCACTTCTGTAGAAAACATTTTTGGATCAGAGGAAACTCACAGAGGAGTCTGGCAATTTACTCTAGAAGCTACTCTCGGTTTTTTATTAATTGAAAGTCTATCCCATCCCACAAAGATTACAGCCACACACAAAAAACATGACATGACTTTTCTTAAACCCTTAAAATGTATAACTAGAGGGTGAGTTTGATCTCCCAGTTGGTTGAGTCCTTAGCTAGTTTGTAGTCCAGAGCTGATTTGTAGTTATGTTTGTATTTAGGTTACAAAGTTGCTTGCTTGTAGCAACATCAACATGAAATCTTATCTTGCCTACAACAATGCAGTCTCAGTGTAGCTTCACTGTGATTCTGGAGAGACCAAGTTGTAAACTACAACTTGATTGGTTCGCAGAGGCTTACACCTGCGAAGCAAAAATGTTATTTTTAACTAAAAAGAATAATTCTGGTCAGACTTCAGTGTCGGGTGAAGCAGGTGAGGACGTTGTCCTTGTCCTTCCTCGCATGTAGCACATGGCAGGAGGTCGTCAGCTTCAGATTGCTTTCAAATAATTTGCTGGAAAATGTTCAGTTTGCTTTAGATTAGGTTGCTGCCTGGACAGAGCAGGTATGAGCAATGCACAAGCTAACCACCTAGCTATGGATTCAGTGGACCTGTGCTATTCTCACATCAACACAAATTGTTGCATTTGGATATCACAGGACTTTGTACTGGGGAGCTGGCAGGCCAAAGACCATTTAATATCTGGTCTAGTATGCATGTGAAAATAATTACAGTGTATATTGGGAGGTGCGGAAATCTTTACTTGTGTGTTTTTTTTTTAAAAATTCCTTTCAAGTTGCAGCACATGAAGAAGAACATATCATCGCTATGAGTCCTAAAATGAATGTAAATTACATCTTCTTACTATATGATAGAAAATCTGTCTGTCCGTATGTTTGTTTCTTTGTCCGCAAACTCCTGCTAGATAATCAGGAGTTGAACAACTAAACATGACACATAGATACATCTCAGGCTCACGGAGGTCTTTATCTATATCGGATATTGTCATCATGTTGCCTTGCAACCATCTAGCAAAGGGCTAAGATGATCCTTTTTAGCCCTTTTGCACCTTATAAAACCTTATAAAAACTTTGTATTATTATTATTTGTCAACACTATTATCTAATCGACAGAAGTGAGGCTAAATATTGTATTGCATAGGAAATGCAGTGATCAGGACTGTTATAATATGTCTATGACTTTTACCTCTGTAGCCCCTGGATCCAAGTAAACCCTGCATGGCTGCATATTTGGCTGCCTTCTGCGCTTTAGCTGAAGGTCATGATAGTAAAACAAACAAACAAACAAACAAACAAAGAAAAACCAGAAAACGAGTTTAGATACTTAGTTGTCAGTAGATATTAAAAAAGCATGCATGTTACAATCAGAATTATCCTTGATATATTATATTTCACTAACAAGATAAGCAAAAGTAATATGTTCATCCGATCTGTGTATCTTTGTGCCAATGCTAGACCAACATTGTTAATTTGGACATGCTTATTCCAGAGGACACAGTGAGTTTTCTTACATTTTTGTCCAGCCCCCGCATACCCTAGAGAACAATAACAGGAAAGATAAAGTCATAACAAACAACTGATACCTTACAATGGACTTTTTAAAACAATCTCAGAATAACACTGCTTTCTGTTTCCTGTTATTCTCAGTTTTGTATGATTTTACTAAAATGTGTATGCTGAGTATTAAAAAGAGGACATATGTGATCAAATCTGTCTCACCTGGATAACTTCCTATACCCAGCCCACCATATCCAGGACCAGCAGCACCTCCTGGAAGAATAAAAACATTACAGCTTTCAAAGCACTTCTTATCTGTGCCATGTTTACAGTGCAGAGCTATGAATTTTGTTGATTTTGATGTTTTGAAATATGTTAAAAGCACATTCTCATTATCCTAATGACTATATTTTCATATTAACTGACCTGGTCCCCCACCAGGTAGTCCTCCAACTCCTTGGCCAGTTCCTCCAGGACCTCCTAGCCCTCCTGTACCTCCTGCTACGCTACCTAAACAGATAAATGGGTATGAATGAGAGACAAGTTAACTTTTTAATCAACATGGGGATATAAACAAAGGGCCAAATGAACACTGTTGTACCCAGTGTATTAGAGGCAGTTGGGAGAATTTTTTATGTAAAATAAACCATCTTATTTTTATTACCAGTTATTACCAGTATTATTACCAGAGACTACAGATCTTTAGAGAGAACTGACACACCTCAAGTTAGTCACTAATAAAAGTTTTATCTCAGTCAAATTTTCACATGTCTGTTGTCTCTTTATTATAATGTGCTGTGTGCTAAACATTTACTTGACTTTATAAGCTGGAACCTCACCTTGGCCACCACCAGTGACGCCTCCTGTCCCAGTACCAGGAAGAACTCCGACTCCACCTCCTAATGAACAGTGATGTGATTAAATTACATAAATGACAAATAATACAACAATACATATGTTTCCATAGAGCAACGTGAAACAACAAGTTAAACAGAGAAGCAGACTGAGCTGTAGTCCACGTTTATTAAAGGAATAGGATATTTGGTCTTTCAAATAATCATAATGGTCCGTCATACATTACAGTTTGTAACTGTAAAGAGAGCTCCTATGTCTAAGGTTACTTTCTGACAAGACTTTAATGCAACGACAAACACAAAGTGTGAGATACTCCCTCCATAGAATCCCACCACATAGCAAACCAAACCATATGATTCAGTTCCTGTTGCTTTTTGCTGCTGTTTACTCCTATGCATGATTTAATGTGGTGTTGATCGAGACAAAAAAGTAAACTTCATGCATTCAGTTGGTTAAATTGGATTAGTTTAAGTGTCTCTCTGAATTAATTTACATTAAGTTTGTGCAAATGGTAGTGCTTTGAATGTAGAGGTTCTGATAAGAAAATATATGAGTTACTATCAAAAGCTTCTAAGTATATCTCAGAATTTTACCTGGTCCGTAGCCAGCTCCACCCAGCGACGAGCTGTAACCTGATTTAGACGGCTTTCTTGTTCCAAGTGTTTGGCCAGGTCCAAAACCACCAGTCCCAGCACCTCCAGGGCCAAAGCCACCGGTCCCAGCTCCTCCTGGGCCAAAGCCCCCAGTCCCAGCACCTCCTGGGCCAAAGCCCCCAGTCCCAGCACCTCCAGGGCCAAAACCAGTCCCAGCACCTCCAGGGCCAAAACCACCAGTCCCAGCACCTCCAGGGCCAAAACCAGTCCCAGCACCTCCAGGGCCAAAACCAGTCCCAGCACCTCCAGGGCCAAAACCAGTCCCAGCACCTCCAGGGCCAAACCCACCAGTCCCAGCACCTCCTGGTCCAAAACCTCCAGGACCTGTACCCCCAGCTCCACCAGCGCCATATCCTCCTCCTAATCCTCCTCCTGGAAGAAAAGTTAAAATATATTTACACAGTTATAAACCATAAAAATATCTAAAACAACCATTAACCTCCCTACTCCAAACTAAACCCTTACCTGTTCCATAACCAACTCCTCCATAACCTGGAAGAAACAATGAAAAAAACTTTGATAAAACATCTGTTTGCTGGCTGCATTTCTTATATCATGAAACCTCCATTAGGTATCTCCATTAGTATATGATCTAGCTAATGATCTTATTTATGTAATCCTTGCTTACC